AAGAAACGTGATTTATGTTACTTTAGCATTTCTTTTCCGCATTGATTGTTTTGTTTTATCCCACTTGTGTCTTTACGAGTTTGCTTGCTTGGCTATGTGCAGGTAGTGCATGACCCATAGCTAGTCGGGAGTATTACTACCGTTGGATCCAGAGCTAGAACGTACTTGTCGCCAGCTTAGGAAGGAATTGCGCACAAGACTGGCTACGGAGGAAGTGCAAATCGATGACCATCTGAGCAGCGACTCCGAGTAGGAATGCGATATGGACGACGAGCACAATAGCATGAACTTTAACCTGGGGCAGAACCCACCCTTGGGGATGCCTCTCCAGGTCCCCCCAGTCAATTAGGTTATTGCCAGTAATGAAGTCCCCCAAGCAGATGGGGCTCATCATCCACAAACCCCGCTGGGTCCTACTATGGAGTACTACTACACTCCACGGATCGACGACATCTGCCCCGTCATCTTGTATCCACCCATTCCTGCTAATAACTTTGAGATCAAGCCATGCTGGATTCAACAGACAACATCCTCCATCCAGTTTCATGGCCTCAAGGATGAAGAGGCGAGAGTGCACCTTTCCCGATTCCTGCAGCTTACCAATGGGTTCAAGTTGAACGGTGTACCAGATGACGCGATCCGTCTTCACCTCTTTCCGCACTCTCTGGAGGGGCATGCGAAGAGGTGGCTAGAGACCCAACCACCATTGTCCAAGTTACACCCCGCGCTTCCCAAAAGTCAAAATGACTAACATACCCTTCCCAAAAGTAAAAAGGACTAACATACGACCACCATTGGACGAGACGTGGAGGAAGGTGTCACCAAAGTCTAAAGCATGCCTGGTAGAAGACAGTGGGGAGTCAGTACACAAGAAAAGGCATGGAATGTGAGAGGGAATAACAGTTAGCTGGTAGATGACAGTACGAATAGAGAACCACTTCTCAGAAGTGCGTGAGTTGGATACCAAGATAACACTGAGTTAGAAGGAGGATAGTAGAGACCCTACAAACTACCCAGATCACAAAAGGGTCAAGAGGATGTTGGGACCGTTGGAAGGGGTATGCAAGAAGTTCACGATGATCTATTATGGGATTGTCCTCTCTTAAATAGAGGGAACACCTAGCCTCCTAGGGTACATGAGGGGTGACAGAAGGAGGGTGTTTAATAAGAGCCATGACTAAGAGATTAAGGTTATGTACAAGCATCGGTCGAGACAAAAGACGTGGATGAGGTATGTTCAAGCCTACCAAGGGCAAGCCACTATTGGAAGCTTTGACCCAAAACAACAACGAGAAGATGCTCAACAGAGCTTGGTGACCGAAAATAGTACAAAGTATTAACAGAAGGGTAGTAAAAGTAAAGAAGCAAGGAGAACACCATAGGACGCTATAAGAAATAAAATAAAAAAGGTGGTTGTCGAACAGACAATGAATGCGTGAAGGAAAATAGTTGGGACCTGGTCAAGCATCATCGTGAGTAGAAGTCGTGGGTGTCATCTGTCAAGTCTACCTAGAGAAGGTTTCTAGTGGAAATGTTGGCTCTGAGGTATGGCGAGGAGCTACTCAACTGAGTAGATCAAAGCTAGTACCAAGCATCGATGAAGGAGTTGTGGAAGTAAGGAGGAAGCCACAAGGCTATAATGAAGGTTATGGTGAAAAGGGTGCTAGTTGATAAAACGACAAATGCAGGGAGAAAGATAGTAAGGAAGAGCCGGCGAAAGAATACGAAGGTCAACAAGGAGGCGTTAAGGTGATTTCCAGTGGAGAATAAGTTGGACCATACGAAGCCCATCAAGAACTGAGAAGCTCGATGGTCAACTTTAAAGTAGAAGTGTGGTGGTCCAGAACGATCGAAGGGAAAACCTTATCGGTCAAGGTACATAAGTGAGAAGAGAATATGGGCACCCAAATGACTACATCAAGGACGAGGGACATATAGAACTAGCGAGAAGCTCAATGGCGAACCTTCTAGGATACCCTAAAGTGAAAGCAATACCACCTATGAGGATGAAATGTGGCGATCTCTCGGGTGAAAATTTCTTGGACGGGGAAACTGTATGAGGAATTTCGGGCAAGGTCAAAGAACAATAGAAGAGATCGTACGAGAACTCCCGAGTCAAACGGTGATAAGGAAGGCGTTAAGTTAGGCGCCAAGAGTAGAAAAAAATACTCAAAATGGAAGGTCGTGATTCTGGAAATAAGTCATAAAGTTGATCGCAAGTTAGAGAAGGATACAAAGGATGCCTCTAAGGCATACAGGAAGTAGAAGCAGTAGTATGAGGTTCGAGCACTAAGCAGCAAGTAACGAGAAAGTGACCATTCAGTTTATGGTTAATGGATAAGATGAGGCATTAAGGAAGAAAGTAAGAGATGCAAAGTTAGGAGATACAAGGACCTAGGTGATCTGTGAGATCAACTCGAGGACGAAATTTTTTTAAGGGTGGAGGAAATGTTACACCCCGCGCTTCCCAAAAGTCAAAATGACAAACATACCCTTCCCAAAAGTCAAAATGACTAACACACCCTTGGGTCAAGTTCCACCGTATTACCGATGAGGATTAAAAATGTGAACTAATTGTTCAAACGATGTCGAGTTTCGACATGAAGTGAGAAAATTATGGACGTTAACTGAATTTCGGATTAAACTCACCCGTAATTAGGAAATTCCCAGAATAACCCGACGAAATTAAACCTAACCCTACTTCTCACTCGCCCCAACCCAAACTTAATAAAACCCTCCCAAAAAGACAAAGCACAGCGGCTCTTGGCCAAAAGAAAAAAAAAACAGTTTCTCCTTCCAGGCATCCACGACAGGGAAAAGGAAAACCTCCAGGAGCTCAGCGACGGCGAGACCTTAATTTTCCTTTCGTCGTTTCTCTTTCCCTACGCGCTCACCGACTCTTTGTCTCGATTATTGCTTTGCCAAGCAAAAACCGTAAGAGCCTGCGATCCTGCGTGTTTTTATTGAATGAAATTCAGTTTCTGGGCCAGGTATCGTGATTACTAAGAACATACATTGCCGCTTTTGATTAAATAAGAGGGGAGTCCAGTTCTGGAGAGAGAAGGGGAGACATGGGTAATCTCCTCTAGCACCGATAGAGGATAATCACTAATAACTAAGGTGAGTGTAAAGGGGGTAAATTCTACGCCTTATGTATTCTTTTAAGTATTATGATTTTGAGTATTTTAGCGAATTGGTTACCGTTGATTGGTTATGTTTATATGGTTGCTTATTTGTGCTTTGCTTGAGCTGTGATTTGAGGTGATTTTGTTTTTTTTGAGGTGATTTTGTGCTATTTACCTTAAAGTGTTATGTTATGAGTTATTGCTAAAGTTTAAGAAACAAGTTCTTTTTAAGAAGTAAATCACCTTCAAGAAGGTGAAGTCGTTTTAAGTGTTTTTAGTCACTAGCGCCAGTCCGTTGCCTTTTGAGACATTTTGAGATAGAGCAGCAGTTATGCTCTTGAGACTTTTAAGATGAGCAGCAGTTATGCTCTTCAGAATCGTGGTGAAGAGCCACCACGATAAGTTTAAGATGTTAGGGGGATGAATCGTTACGACTTCCCTAACTAAGTTTAAGTTTAAGGAAAGCCTAGATGGCTTCTCATACGTATGAGTTGGGCAACCGGACTAGCTAGTGAGGGATCCCCGTGTCAGTCAAGTATTTAAGTCAAGTTTTGAGCTTTAAGAGAGGAGAGTAACTTCAACTCCCTCAAAGTTTAACAGTTAAGATTTTAAGATTGGGAGTACAAACAACTTCCACTAGTCAAAGTTAAGTGTTTAAGTAAAGTACTCAAGTATTAGAATTATTAAAACGTAAGGGCGTAGACTGACCCCAACTCACTCACCAGGCCTTAGTAAGGGAATGAGCGAGAACAGATCGGTAGCAGCTAGCTAGAGGAGCAGTTAGAGAGCAGTGAGTTCGAGAGGAAAAGTTCGAGAGCAACCGGCTAGAGGAGGGCAGTGCAAGCATCATGGAGGATGCCTAGTTAAGATTTTCAGTAGCAGCAAAGACAGAGACTACCTAGTTATTTACATTTTATGATTATGAGTATAGACTGGAGAACAAATTGAGATTTAAAGTTTGGGTTTAATTTGCCCACTTGTTAGGGCTTTGCTTTGAACTACAAGTGTGTGTTTTCAGTATTTTATTTATGAAAAATTTTCCCGCTGCAATTTAAGATTTGAGCATTTTATTATCAAGGGCATTTTAGTAAAACTAGTACCCGGCCAGGTTAGGGAGTTTCAGTCCATCACTTCCTGGGACGATTTGGCCAACAAGTTCGTACACAGGAGGACATCACTCATTTCTGCCAAGAGCTAAATGAGTCACTATGTGATGCTTGGGAACGGTACTTGGGATGGAGACTTGCAGGAAAGACAGATTTTCAAATCTTTGGGTAGCTCCTTCCGTCGGTTGCTGAGAGAATGCAATAGCAGTTCTGTAGAGAGACGAGAAGGGAAAAGATTTACGAAACAACTTGTGGATGAGCTCCTCGGCAAAAAGATGATCTCTTGGCAATTGATCAATGAACTAAGAAATTCTTACTTCGAGCTCTTCTCTCTAAAGTATAAGAGAAAATTAAAGCCAACTAAAAAATAGTGAACTCTCTCCTTTTTCGGGTCGGGTGCCTTGGGGCTTGGTGGCTCGGGTATCTAGGTTGACTCAGCCTTTCTGTCAGCCCAATAAGAGTTTCCATTTGCCACGTCATCAAAAATTTGATGTCGTTAACGAAGTCTAATAGAGGCTAACGACCAGTGGCTAAGGTGAAATGTTTCGTAAAGTTAGTGACCAATAAGCAAGGTTTGTAATTCGGGTGGCAAATGTGAAATTTTTATGTAATTCGGGTGACCAATCGTGTAATTCACCCGATAATTTATCATATTCCCGCTGCAAAGCCCGGGTCAGTTGACTAGTCACAATTATGAGACGAGTGCACTTAGTTTCTTTTTGTGATAGCGAAACTTACGAAATAAAAGAAAATGAAGTGGAATCTACAATTCTACATCATCTCGAACGGCAGCGTGTTGCTGGGTAGATGGGATTGCCTTTGCCGCATCACAAAGGCCGCGGATACGATTTGTGTGCGCAGATTGTTATCGGGTCAGGTCACGGCGAGCGAGAGGCTGACAGCAAAGCGGCGTTGGAAGGGTCGGAAGATTAAAGAAGGAGATGGTGGCGATACAGCTTGGGCTTGCCCCTGCTAGTTACTGCTACCCTTCCATTCTCTTTCTTCCTCGATTCCGCTTCTTAAAACGAAGACGGTTTGCTGGTAAGTTAAATACTCAAACGGAAGAAGCATTGCTGCATTGCCCGGAAAGAAATGGATTTGTTTTCTAAAACTTAACTATTTTGACATTGGAACAATTGCGACTTTTTTTTTTCTTTCTCTAATTGTAGTTTGCCATGACTTTGTGCTTCATTTGAGACATGAGTTTGTTGTGGGTATTATTGTAAACAGTTGTTGCCATGAGCAATGATCCTATCACTGAGTGGATTCTGTCGGAAGGGAAGGCGACGCAGATTAAACGGATTAGCCCCATTGGAGGTGGCTGCATAAATCGTGCTAATCGTTATGAAACTGATGCTGGTCCTTTCTTTGTTAAGACAAACAGGTGTGGTTATTATCCATTTGTTTAGTGGATTAGAGCTCTAGTGCTTGTTGGGTGTGTCTATAAAGCACCGAATTTCCGATTAATTAGGAGCATTGGACCGTCCATGTTCGAAGGGGAGGCTCTTGGTCTTGGTGCTATGTACGAAACTGAAACAATCCGTGTTCCGAGGCCATTCAAGGTAAGCAAACTTATCTCTTATTTTTGTTATTCACTTGCTGCTCTGGAAACATATTGGCTCGGCTGTAGTATCATTTGAGTGCAAATTGTTGTTAGCATTGGTTGTAGGTTGGAGCTCTGCCTACTGGTGGATCATACATAATCATGGAATACATTGAATTTGGTGCAGCTAGATCTAACCAGGTGAGCTAGGAACTAAAGACTTCATTCAATTTGTTGCTGTGATATTTGTTTTCTAAGAAGAAAAACGCAGTTTTCCCTAAAATCTCTAGTCAATGGTCAGTCTGAGTTAGGGAGGAAGCTTGCTGAAATGCATAAAGCTGGGAAATCAGCAAAAGGCTTTGGCTTTGACGTGGACAATACAATTGGCAGGTAGGTGTATGTTCATTCTGGAGTCTTATGATTCTCTGTTTATAGCACTGTCATGTTCTATAATCAATGCAAGAAGTCAAGATCTTGGTGTTTCAGAGATGTAATGTTGGAAAATATGCACATTTGTAGTACTCCACAGATAAACACATGGACTTCGGATTGGATCGAGTTCTACGGAGAGCACAGATTGGGATATCAACTGAAGTTGGCATCAGATCAGTATGGTGATTCAACCATATATCAGAAAGGTAGTTACTTGGTACTGCATGGGAATGCGAAAGATGGATTCCATTAATTTATGGTGTGAATTGGTTATATGGGGGCGATTTTTGGTAATAGGGCAAAGACTGGTGAAGAACATGGCAGCCCTGTTTGAGAACATTGTGATAGAGCCATGCCTGCTTCATGGAGACTTGTGGAGTGGGAACATCAGTTCAGACAAGAGCGGGGAGCCAGTTATACTTGACCCTGCATGCTATTGTAAGTCTACTGTTGAACTTGCTTCTAAAGGCTTTTCGTTTAGGTTTCTTTCTACTTCGCTATCAACTGTGAATGTGGGTACATATTGCTGGTGTACGCTGCAGACGGACATAGTGAAGCAGAATTTGGGATGTCATGGTGTGCGGGTTTCGGAGGGGCATTCTACAACGCTTACTTTGAGGTATATGTTCTTGAGTTTGTTTCCGTTATGGGAGTTTATGTTGTGGTTGTGAACAGGAATGGAATTTTATTGTCTTTATGTTTTCGTCTTGGGGTGGGGCATTTGGGAAATGGTAGGTGACGCCGAAGCAAGCAGGGTTTGAGAAAAGGAGGGATTTGTACATGCTCTACCATTACCTGAATCATTATAATCTCTTTGGTTCTGGATACCGCTCCTCTGCCATGTCCATCATAGATGACTACCTCCGCTTGCTAAATGTATAGGCACAAAGAAACAATCCTCCATTGGGTCTAGTTTTCTGAACCAGAGATGTAAAGCTGTTTCGGTGTATAATAACAAAACCCAGCTCTCTGGTCTCATGGTGAATTTTATTAAAGAGAAAAGGTCTGAGAAGTAGGAAGCAATAGAGGAAGAAAACAGAGCATTGACCAGAGCAGGTGATCGACTGTATCCTCTTCTTTCCCGCATAATTCGCATATATTAGCAAGATGCAAACCTCTCTTCTTAAGGTTGCGTGAGAATTTTCTTGAGTGAAGTGAGCCAAATGAAAGTACATACTTCAGTGGGGATGGTGTGCCTCCACATTGAACCGGCAGGAAAGTCGTTGATTCCTGAAAATTTGTCTTTCGTGATAGCCCTGTACATACAACGAACCGAAAATGGATGATCCATGTTAGGTAGCTAATTTGGGCTCAAATGTACACATTTTACTTCTCATTTCTTATTCGATATTTTTAGTAGATCACCGTTCCTCGACCTATTTTACTCTAGGTTGTGCTTGTTTTGTTACATTTCAAGTCCTAGCACGTGTGGGAAGGTCTGAGAGGAGTTTCAAGTCATTCGGAGGTTAAAATGAGCCAAAAAGTGGAGTTTGAGCCCTGTTCACGGGCTGGAGCTTCAGTTCACGGTCGCTAAGACTGTGAAGTGGAAGCCCAAACCGTGAAGTGACAAATTTCCAGCACGGTTCTACAAATTACTAGCATCAAGTAAGTTCACGATCTCTAAGACCGTGAACTGGCCAACGCAGCGGTGAACTGGGAACTTTCGACCAAATATGAAGACAATAACGGAGAGAAAAATGGGATATTATATTTAGAACGAGACAAGTTGTACACTTTTTATCCTCGTTTCTCTTGGAGGTTTGTTGCAATTGAGCTCCAAAAAGGGGTGGTTTTACGCTAGGTTTCGTGTGTTTCAGATTCTAATAGGTGAAACCAACCCCAGAATAAAAAGGTTTCTAGACAGAGAAACTGCCATTCAAAGGAGGAAGAAGGAGTGAAGATTCTTACTCTCAAAGGAGATTCAAGCAAGGAGGAAGGAAGATTGTCATCTCTTCATGGTTCTTTCTCTCATTTTTCTTGTTTTCCTTTGTCTAGCTATAGAATAGCCCACCTACTCACTTGGGTATTGTGAATTCTAGTCTATATATGTGTTAGGATGTAAGAACATGATTCTATTTGTGTTGATTGTGCATCTTATATAATATTTGAGGTATTAATCATGATTTGTGGGTGTTGCTTGCATTATCTCATTGTTGGGTCAAATAGACCTAGGAGGTGGAAATCCCCCTTTGGGCCATAGGGAGCTTGACCTCCTACCCACTCGGGTAACCCTTTCTATGTTAATCTAGGGCCAAAACCTCAAGTATCAGAGTAGCACCTTGATTCCTACATGAATGGTCTCTCCGCCGTTCGGATTAAGTTCCAATGGGTTGGTTTGCAATCCTTAGTCAACCGGTTTAGAGGTCGTCTAGCCTAGAGTTACAATCCTCAACCGAAAGGTTAATAGAGTTAGACCGCTGATAGAACCCGGGAACCTGAGCTCTATCTCGGGATTAGGGAATAGGGATCAATGAGAGATTGACCCTTAGAATGCTTCTTTCTCTTCTATGTTTGTGATCTTATTGATTCTTTATAGATGATTGATTTTAGAGTGTTGCTTTGTATATCATTAAACCTAAAATGAAATTGATTTTTGAAGTCGGATAATCTCTAGGTTATTGATTCTTTGTAGATGATTGATATATGAGGTTCAGCCTCAAGGCTATAAGAGATTGGTCATTCTTCCATTATCTAGAGTTGCTGAAAATTGATATGAAATCAAGATTTGGCACTGCAATGTCGTGGGCAAAACTTTGTAGAGAGCTAAATGTAAGATTTACCCAAGTTTTATTTGCTCCTAATTTGTTTTCTCCCCATGTTCTCCCGTCCAAGTGAAAGTGGTGAAGAGTTAGTGTTGCAAATTCACTTATGGTAGTTATATTCATAGGCAGTAGCAATTATATGTTGGTCCATGGAGAGTGTAAAACTATTGTTCAGGTAAATTATGAACCGAATCCGGCATATTTTACTCAACAAAAATTGTCCTACTGATATTTAGATATCACTTGGAAGAGAAGAACAAAATATTAGAGAGAATTAGATGCTATTTTGTGTACCTTTGTAGCTTGAGCCTCCTGTTTTTGGATCATGTAAAGGAATATATTCATTACTAATGAAAACTACATGACGATCCTTGGAGAGTGTCAAGCTATTGTTGCAACTTGCAAGTAAATTATAAACTCAATCCCTACATTTGCTTCAGTTTTTTTTTTTTTAAGTTCTTAGTCAACAAAATTTTGTTATACTTAACTTTAGGATATTAAATTGATCCATATTCCACTCTAGGCTGGAGCTGATCGTAATCTATCTCCAAGCTTAATTGCGTTCGAGATATCTCCTCTATGTATTGGAAATGGAGGGGGACACAAAGATTATCAAACAAAGAAAGGAGAAGAACCATTTTGTTGGTTTCCTGTTTCGTTTTCAATTTTATTGTTTTTGTCAAAGAATTAAACTCTTCTTGGTTGAGTTTGAGAGGTTGGATCACTATTCAACTTGATAGAGCTTAAATTAGAGGTAAATTTTTCTCGGTGGAGTTTGGATCACCAGTTTGAGGTATTTTCAAGTCATTGTGCTCTAAAGAGGTTCTCCCTTTGCCTCTATAATATGCATTGTTTCAATGACTCTTTTGATGTTCATGGGGTTGCCAAAACTTTCTATGGGAGGCTGACTTTTATTCTTTATCGGTTTTCGAGACCCCAGATAACATGCTTCAATGCTTTGTGCAACCACCTCTTAAAGGTTACCTATCACTCATTAGTGTTGCCATGGCATACACCGGCGGATCCAGGGGGTGGCCACCCCAGTCCCCGGCCCAGCCCTCATCTGGATCCGTAGTTACTATAGTCCTTATGAAAATTTTGATTTTAGACATTCGACCCTGTGTTATTCTATGATAAGATTGGGTTTAACTAGAAAAATTATCAAGTTGAACATATTCAAATCACTATTCTAAATTTAGCCTATAAATTTTAGCCCCAAAGATCATGCGTCTTAAAAAAACAACGAAACCTAAAATTCTAAAAAGTTTAAAATGTAAAAGACTAAAAGAATTATGAGGTTTGTTCCCTTACAAATTTACTAAAGTAGCTGGTGTGCAGGGATGGACACACAATGCAAATTGATTAGTCGATTAATTTATCTAGTGTTGATGCTGCTCGTTTCAACAGCTACTACGAAGAGAACCTTTTTAACAATGAAACATGTGAGAACTGATTTTCTCAACAAAATGAGTGATGAATTTCTCGCCGATTGCTCAAGTATTTTATCTGAAACAGTGTATACTATTGGTATGGATGTAGACTTCATTATTGATGCATTCCCTAAATTTAAATACAGTCGTGTACAATTTACATTGTAAAAAACTATAATCATTATATTTTTTTGCGGTTCTAATTTTCTAATGAAATGCGTTCCAATGCTCTTCTGTGTTCTGGATCCGCCGTGCATAGCAATTGAAGAAGCAAAGGAATTGAATGGTCTACATTCAATGTTATTTTTCGTATGAATGGGTTGTGGTTAATATTAGTTAGATGACCATACTAAGTTGTATGATAGATAGTAAGCTTCAGCCAATTATAATTTATGGTGGTTGTTTAGAAATATGCCAGTGATGCTATTCATATTATTGCAGCCAAACGATCTGTTAGAATCTCCTTTTACAACATCATTAGAATCATCAACACAACCAGCAACTACTCCACAATCCAGAATCAACGTCGATTATAGATTACACTAGAAAATTATGATTATTAGATTGAACTTTTTATTGGTTAGTGATACTCTATTTCATGGACACTTTAAGCTCCATAATTTGACAAATATTTTCTTTTGGTTGAAAATTAATTGTGTATATATACCAAGGAAGCAACTCCCATGTAATCCTTTACCGAATTTTGATATAGACTTCCTTTTTGCAAAGATGTAGTTGGATTTGAAAATAATTATATGAATGTTGTTTGGTGTGAAAGTTGGGAACACCTATATGTAAAATATCAAGCTCTCCCAATGAACGAGTCGAGTCAACTTTAGGGGTTTCATTCAACTTTTGACGTCTATTTCTTTTTCGGCCCTAATCAGTTTAAAAAAATTCTCGGCATGTAGGAGAAGGAGTGGAAACGTGTAGAATAGGGTTGGTTCTTGAAGTAAAGATATATCTCCGAATATTGATGGTTTTCGATTGGAAGTCCAGAAGACCATTGTTGAACTTGATCAAAAGGTTAGCCAAAACTGGAAAACTAACTGAAAGCTGCTAAGTCTGAGAACGTGTTTGTGAAGCCTATTTTGGAGCTCAATTCGAGAAACATGGATGCGAGTCGAGTCCAGGGCCTCTACCACGTTAAATTAGGTATGTCTTTATACAAAGTCAAGTCATTGGATGAAAGATTGGATATCTGTAAGGCTTCAAACAAAAGGGTCGAAGTTGCGACGAAGACTGTTTTTATGGCAGACTTCGAGCACAAGCAAGCTGCCAGAAAAACAGTCTTCGTAGCAACTTCGACCCTTTTGTTTGAAGCCTTACTAATATCCAATATTTCATCCAATGCCTTGACTTTATATAAAAACATACCTAATTTAACGTGATAGAGGCCCCTGGACTCGACTCGTATCCATGCTTCTCGAATTGAGCTCCAAAGTAGGCTTCACAAACACGTTCCCAGACAGCCATTTTCAGGCAGTTTCCAAGTTTTGGCATAGCCTTTTGATCAGGTTAAAAAATAGTGTTGTGGACTTCTTATTGAGCTCCCAAGAACTTTAATGTGTAGAGGGACACTTCAGTTTCAAAACAAGCCATTGATCTCCAATTTCCATATAGCCAACTGTAAGATATGAATCTCCAAAGTAGGCAATATGAAACTGTTTTTACACTGAAACAACAAATTAGGTCGACCTAATCCTATATGAGGTCGATCGAAAAGTGAATGTCACCGTAGCAAAGTCCTAAAATTGAATGTATAGTGGAAATTTGAATTAGCGGAATCTCACGTTCACTATTCTTTCTTGGCTTCTCTACTTGAATGGAATGAGAGATTTCACTTGATATCCAAATTTCTAATAGCAATGGCTTAGATCTTAATTACTTGGCTAGCCGCATGCAATTACATGAAGGTACACAGCGTAGGGGCAGTTGTAGTAGAAAATTATATTTGATTTTGTATTAAAATATTCTTAATAAAAAAGTGAACAGTAGCCCCGAAAAATTAGTGATGAACAGTTACGGCTTCTTAGGTTACTTGCATTTTAATGATATAATAATAATAATAATAATATAATAATAATAATAATAAGGGTTAATAGCATTTTGTACTCTTCTAGTAAATTAACAAACATATCCGTCTATTAAATTTTTGCACAAAAGTACCCTTCTAATATTAAAACGTATCAAATTTACTCTTCCGTCTATTTTTCTGTTAAGTGATCGTTAAAGGGACTGTGAAATGACCCAATTGCCCCTCCTTTACTACTAATTTCAATTTTAATTATTTTATTTATTATTTATTTCCAAACAAAACAGTTAACTAAAAGAAAACAAAACCTAAAATCCCCCTTCACTCATACTCGCACGATTGAACTTTTGTCTTCCTCTCTAACTAGTACAGGACCCGGCCCGTTGGCCGGAAGAATTTTGTCGAGAAATATGATATATAATAATGGATATATAATAGAGGATTTGAATTGCACAAAATGATTGTTTTCTAAATTAGTTATGCACATAACATTTTTGAAAGTGATCCAACTATATGCATAACGTGTTTAGACCTCCATGAAAAGAGAAAAATATAATATAAGTTTACTGATAATTATTGAATGAAAAAAGAAATAAATATAACTAATTGTCATCCATTACTTAATTAAACCATATA